TTCCTGTGCGGCATCCTTGCTTAGAACCTGGCTGCCCAGCTGCCCCGTCCCTCACTCGTAGGGGACCAAGGGAGGGGCCCGGAGCAGCAGTGGCACAACTGGCCCAGGCTTTGAGGGGCCTGGCCAGGCTGCAGGCTGCAGCAGGACCTGGGCGGGGCATAGGGGCTGCTCTTCCAGCCCCGTTCTTGGGATGGAGGACTAGACTGTCATTCTGATTTCTCCCACTTGTACACGGCTCCGTTAGAGGTTACAAGGCTTTCCTGCCCCACTCACCCTGGGCAAAAACGGTTTTCTCGCCTCTAACTGCCCAGCCCCTGCTGTCCCTGGGGCCCCTCGCCCCAGGCTCACCCTTCCCTTCCCTTCCCTGGCCAGGGCCCCACGTCTTGGGCCTCTGCCGTAGTCCCCATCCTGTGGCTCGGAGGGGTCGGAGTGGTGCCCTATGCAAGCTCTGTGAAAACACAGTCCTGCGTGCGAGTAACGACAATGCAGGGACACCGCAGGTGCAGAGGGCCGAGTCCAGGGCGTGGCGCTGAAGCGGAAATCGTCCTGCAGCAGACTTTGCCACCTGGCGCATGCACTTGTGCGGTTAGTTTGAATTTCACCCCTCTTTCCATTTTGTTTGCGTTCAGGATGCAAATGGGTCTTGGTGGCTGCGTTGGTGGCAGCCGGGGGTTGTGTCTGATGTCATGGTTTCATGTGTTTAAGTAACAGTATAAGCAAAATGATGAAGTAGGGGAGCCAGGGAATCTCCCCCTCTAAAAGGGGTCAGAGAGGCCATTCCGCCTTTTGGGTTTGAGGGACACTGGGATGATTAGTAACCTGCCCTTCCGAGGTGCCTGAAGCACCTTAACAAGGAGGTGGTTGAGAGGAGGTATGAACAGGCAGGCAGCTCTGTGCTGGGACAGAATCCAAATGCTCTCCCCCTGAGCCACACCTCCGATCCTTCTTTTCTTTTCCTTTCTATGTCTTTTTCCCCCCCTCCAGTACTGGGGCTTGAACCCAAGTCCTTCACACTGAATTACATCCAAGTCCTTTTTATAATTTTTTTAAAAACAGGATCTTGCTAAGTTGCCCAGGCTGGTGTTGAACTGGTGATACTCCTGCCTCAGCCTTCAGGAGGCTGAGGTTACAGACATGTACCACTGTGCCCAGCACAACTCCAAGTTTGAGCCAGGTCCCTTTATGAGCTCTGATCTGGGGAAAGGGATTTGGTTTTCACATCTGAAAAGGGAGTTGCGGCCCCCACCCCAGGGGCCAGTGTCACTCTGGAGGTTGTCAATGTGACACAAGGCACCAGGAGGCCTCTGAGCCCCTGGCGCCCCACCCCAAGGCAGGCCTGCTTCTCTCAGTGGTGGTGCCAGGCCCTGTACCAGCTGGAGAGAAGTCCTGGAGGGGGTTTGGGTCAGTACCCCACTACAACCCTCCAGGGCCAGCTATCCATGCTGCTGAGGTGGGAGGAGCCCCCAAAGGGCGGACTCAGACCACACGCCCTCCAATGTCAGCAGAAAGGGACCGGCTAGCTCCTCACTCCTAGGGCCAGGCCCTGGCTGGGCAAGCAGAAATGGTGACCGGCAAGATCTAGGGCTGGCAGGGAGGACAGAGAGAGCCCAAGGCACCCAGGCCAATCTAGGCTGGAGGGCCATGTGTTCCTCTCTGAGGCCAGCGCCTGCTGATCTGTGCTGAGGTCAGGGTGGCCAGTAAGTGCCCACAGGAGCCTGGGTCCTCTAGTCCCTGCCAGCTGGAGGAACCCAGTGGGAGGTGGGTGAGCTGGCACCACAGACCGGGAAGCCAGAGGACAAGGCTGTGGGCTTCTCCGAGAGCAGCTATGAGCACCAGCAGCCTGGCCCCCAGCGTGGCCCCTCCAACCATGGCCCACCGTTCACCCTCGACATGGGGGCACTGGGCCCAGAGTCCACACAGCAGGGTCTGGTAGGATTAACTGACAAGGTGAAGATCTGATTTATTTTTACTTTTCAGGACTGCCTCCACCAAAGCAAAGGCTGCTATTTAACCAGCAGCCACTAAAAATAAACATTTAAATACCACATTTGTGCAGCTGAGCCAGGCTGGGCTGCACCTTAGAGGTCTGCTGTCTCCCTCAGCTGGCGGGGACAATGATACCTTCAAAGCCTCAGAACCCCAGCACTGGGGGGACACAGCCTTAGCCCAGTAAGAGGACAAAAGCTCACGTCCATGTGCACCCCTTTCCCAGAGTCTGAGGAAAGAGAAACTGGCTAGTGATGAGGAACTGAAGGCCAAGAAAGAAAACGCTACCCCATGGAAGGGTGGGCAGACCTGGAAGAGACCCCTTGACCACCCAGTGTATGGCTTGCTCCACCAGGACATGAGAAACCAGCAACATGGCCAAGGCCGAGGTCAGAACTACATGTGAGAGCTGGGAGGGAGTCACACTGCAGTGAAGAGACCCAACTCAGCCAGCACCTCTCTGCTACTCCCCAGCCCTGAGATTCCCAAACACAGTTTTTATCCTTAGGAAGCTGACATTGAGTACAAGGAAGCCTCTATCCTGGGCATCTGGGGAGAGAAAGAGAAAAGAGAGAGGAACAGAGGGAGAGGGAGAGGGGGAGGGAGAGAGAGACACAGAAAAAAACGAGAGACAGACAGAGTAAAGGAAAGAGGAGGGGAGAAAAAAGAAGAGACAGACTTTGCTCAGGCAGAGGAAAGGAAGAGTGGGACCAGCTTTGGTAGGTGACTGGATCATGGGGTCACTATAGTCATCAGTGGATTGATCCTCTGATGAGTTCACAGCTGAAGGCGTTATGAGGAGGCGGGGCCTGTTCAGGAGAGGTGAGTTACCATGGACATGACCCACCTTGGAGCCAGCCGACCATGGACTGAACCCTCTGAAACTGTGAGTCAAATAAGCACCTTTACTTTGAGAATGTCAGGTATTTTGTCCAGAGGCAAGAGAGCTGACCAATACACTATGGTTTCCTAGATGTGATACCATAAGCAAAATAATACAGTATGATCAAAATTAACATTTATGCAAATGAAAACAACACTGAGATTCCATCTCATTCCAGAAAGAATGGCTGCTATCAAGAAATCGACCAATAGCAAATGCCGGAGGGGCTTTTGGGGAAAAGGAGCGCTTCTCCACTGTTTGTGGGAGTGTAGACTGGTGCAACCACTGTGGAAATTGGTATGGAGATTCCTCAAAGAACTGAGATTAGAGGTCCCATTTGAGCTGTTGGGTATCTTTACGAAAGAATTAAAAGCCTCATACCACAGCGATATATGCACACCCATGTTTATAGCAGTACGGTTTGTAATAGCTAAATCTTGGAAACAGCCCAAATGGCTATCAAATGACAAGTGGATAAAGAAGGTGTGGGCTTTTTATACAATGGAGTACTGCTATGCTGTACAGAAGGATGAGCTTCGGACATTCGCAGCTAGATGGATGGACCTTGAGTGAACTCTTAAGTGAAATAAATTGGACATACATGTTGAAATACACCCCCTCCAAATTAAACACTCTTGTGCTTTAAGGACATCATTGAGAAAATGAATGGACAATCCACAGAAAGGAACAAAAATACTTCCAAACCTGGGAGAAATTTGTTTCTAGACTCTAGAAAGAATTCTCAAAACCCAACAATGAAAAACTCAATTTAAACATGGCCAAAGGACTTGAATAAATATTGTTATGATTTATACCTGGATGTCCCTGCAAAGCCTCATATGCTCGCTGGTGGGGGCTGGGGGAAAGGGACTGGATTATGGGGCTCGATATTGGGAGGTGGGGCCTCATGGGCAGTGGTGGGCCACTGGGGCGCAACCTGGAAGAAACATTTCTCCCCTTGGCTCTTTCACAGGCTCCCTCTGCTTTTCTGTCCCCACAGTGTAAGCAGTGTTCTTCTGTCGTCCCCCCTCCTGCCCCGCCATGCCTTTCCTGGCTTGGAGCGAGCCGACCATAGACTGAGTTTGAGGCCAACATAACCCTCTCCTCCTGCAAGTCCTGGATGCTGGGTATTTTGTGTCAGAAATGAGGAAGGTGACTGTGACAGGTATTCAAAGAAAACTGCAAATGGCCAATAGCAATAAGCCACCAGGGTAAGGTAAAGCAAAACCACAGTAAGACATCACTCTGCAGCTACTCAGATGACGATGATTTTTTAAAAAGCAACTAATAAGCGCTGGTGGAAATGTAGAGGAAATGAAAGCCTCACACACTGGTGGTTGGGATATTCAGTGGTACAGCCACTTGGAAAAACAGCTTGGTGGTACTTCAAAAAGTTAAACAGAGTCCATAAAACCAGAAATTCTGTTTCGAGGTATAGAACCCAGAAAATGGAAAATATTTGGTTTACACAAAATCTTATACCTGAATCTTCACAGAAGCAGTATTCACGATAGATAAAAGTGGAAATAACCAGGTAAGTGCCTATCAGCTTAAAAACGGGCAAGCAGAATGTGATGTATCCATGTAGAGGGCTATCGTCCAGTCATAAAAATGAACTCTGAATGATTTGGTATGGCAGAACCCCAAAAACACTGCATTAAGGAAACTAGACACAAAACAACCACAAATTGCCTGACTCCATTTATATTAAATTCCTGGAATAGGTAAACACATACTTTAGTGGATGGCTGGAGCTAGACGGTATGAGAAATGACTACTAATGGTATGAGATTCATTTTTCAGGTGATAAAAATGTTCTAGAATCACATCTAGTGGTTGCATTTGAAAATGATAATTTTGGTGGAATATGGATTATAGCTCAGTGAAAAACTAAAACGTGCAAAAGGTAAAGCTTAAGCGGCTACTATAATTTCTATAATATTTGCTTTTTTTTAATATAGTCAGTCTTTAGCTTTTCATTAATAATTTATGGGGCCAGGGATGTAGCTTAGCACTGCACCTATCTGACAAGCTCAAAAAAAAAAGTTTTTCAAAAGAACACATTTCATTTTTAAGGCCATTATTCCAATTCAACAAAAGATTTCATATTTAAACTAAAATTGGCACTCACCCTGTAGTCTTCACTCTTGTCCTGTTTCAAATTTGAAACTCAAAAATTCCAGCGGTCACTCGGAATGGCCAAATTGCAGTGACACAAGCTTCTCCTTTCCGGTCCCTGTGCTATTGTTGTCCTCTCATGAAATACAGTGTAGCTGGCTTCAGATCTCTCACAACTTAGCGGGGAAGAAGAGCACATTTCTGGGACTCACTGTATATCGAGAAGTTCTCCAAGTTAAATGTCGTGTTGAAGACAAAGGGTTTTCTAAGGGATAAAATAAATATGATCATATGAATTTGTGGCTTCTATATATTCACAGTAACCCTAGCAATTGCTTGCAATGTAGACCAATGATCTATTTTCTATGGGAGGAGTTTCATCATGCTTGGTAACAAAAAACCCTAGTAGTCCATCTTGGTCACTTCCGCTCCTGCTGGATTCCTACACAGGGCATCTCCTTATTGCCTGAACTGACGGACAACTCCTACCTCCCACATCCGCTTTATTCCGTTTCCCTCATACACTCTTCATCTGATCCATTTTACCAGCAGGACAGAGGGCCTGAGAGGAGAGAGGTTGGTTGAAGAGCCAATCTGGCCAAACCTGAGTCCTCCCCTCTGTGTCCCAGAGCTCAGCTTCCACTGGGTGGGGGTGGGGGTGCCCCCATGCAGACCAACCCTTTTCCCAGCACTTGCTGGTTGGTGCTGGCTGTCACACTCACTTTAGCTCTGCCTTGTTCCATGAAACTGAGGCCCCACCCACCCAGTACCTGCTCCCACTTCAGAAAGAACCTGGAAATTCATTCACAGTAAGGTGTGAGAGCCGCTAACAGCCTCCTCCTCCCAGAGGTGTTTGCTTGTAACAAAGGAGTGCTCCTTAACTAGCCAAGAAAGAGTGCCTCTGCGGGGGCTGTGTGGGATGCTGGGATCATAGGAACCCACAGTCGTCCTGGAGCACCTTGCTGCCCAAAGATGAGGCCTACCAGAGTCAACACAACTTCCAAATGCATTTGGAGTCATCAGTTAAGTGATGCAGGCTCATAACTTGTGCCTGGTTGTGTGGGGGTAAGAAAATCCAGCTTCTCACCGGTACTGGGATCCTATAACTTAACCTCTGCTGTGTGAAGGCAGACAGCCTTCCAGAGCCTGGGAGGAGGAGCCCTGAGAAACCCTTTTGTCCCCGCTGCAGGCTTGTCCTTCTCGGCCCTGCTGACACTGTCTCTAGAGAGTCTGGGGAGTCACTGAGCTCAGTAGATGCCAACATTCTCATCACTGTCCTTGCGGACCTCACAAGTCATTAAAATCCTTCTGCACAGACGGGTTGGGGGTCTGTCCCGAGCTTTAACAACGACAACAAAGGTGTGGTTTCAGGTTCCACTTTGCATCAGTCAGGATTTAGTTACAGGAAACAGAAACCACTCTAACCATTTTTAAGCAAGCCAGGGTTTTGACAGGAAATGAGGGGCTTACTATTTTATTGAGAAGGCTGAAGACTGGAGGAGACCTGGGCAGGGCCTATTGGAGTGACGCCCAGAACAAGGCCTGGGGACCAGCTGGCTGGGTGCTGTTACCTGAGCCCGGGTCTCCCAGCCCAGCCCTGGGGGTCAACAGGAGACCAGAGCTGCCTCCCCACCTGCCTCCCGACCACAGGAACTGACCGAGTGGACACTGGAATGCTGCCGCAGGAAAAACAACCTCAAAACTGCACTTACCAGCAGCAACAGCCAAAAGCAGCAGGAGGAGACTCCTGGCCTTGAACTGAAGTGGCAAGAAAGGAACTGGCAGAATGGAGGCTGGGCTGGAGCCAGCTCAGCCCAGCAAGATCCAGGGCGCAAGACAATTCTGCCTCTATATCCAGCAACACCACGTGACCAGCATGATTGACATTGTCCACGGTGGAAGTATGTACATCAAAGAAATCAGCAAGCGCTACATGCCGGGGCACTTTCCTTTTTCTTTTCATCTCATTTCATTTATTTGAGAACTGGTTGTTACGTGTTTGCAGCACACCACTGGGCAGAACTCAGTTCCCGTCTAGAACTCTAGCAGCAAGAGAGGCAGGAAATGTAATCGTTCACATTCGGGACTCTGAAGGAACGCAAAAAGGAGGGTGGGAAGAATGCTCACTGCCAGGCCACCCTCACCGTGCACGCTCCCAGGAGGGCAGCCTATGGTCAGCCGCGCTTGTGGGAAACAATGGCTGCCGAAGACGCTGCAGACGGTGAGTAATGCGTGGAAGGAACATTGCTTAATGGCAGCTCCTCTTGACATATGGCAAAGATTATTAACCTTCTTGTCAGGGAACGGGAAAGGTGACAACATAGGAGATTGGCTAAAAAAAAAAGGGGGCTGGAAATGATTAATTGATATCTACAGGAGTGGGGGGAGCGACGCCTGCATACATAGCTAATTAAGAAAAAAGGCAGCTAATGAAGTCAAGATAGCTGTCACTTCGAGCACAACCATTAACGCATCATTTCCCTGTCCACTGGGATGAGCGGGACTGGAGGCACAGCAGTCTTGGAGACAGTTTCTGGAAAGGCCAGCCGTTTGCCAGAAATAATCAGAAACATGTCCAAGATGTGCCACATCTGTGACTGTTAATTAGACAAAGCTACACAGTTTCCTGTCCCAGCCGAGCTGGACGAGAGCCCAGTGGCTCTGAGGCAGCCAGTGAGTCAAGCGAAGGTCAGAGCAGCGCATCACAAAACCCAAGCCTCGTCAGCCTCTCGCATGCTCAAGCTTTTCAGAGCCACTGCACCGGAGGGTCCCTTGACCCATGTCTTGTTTAGCTGACAATAACTTGGTATGGACACACGCTGCTGCCCACTGCACCGTGTCCCTTCCCCGGCCCATATGTTGAAGCGCCACTCCCAGCATGACCGCATTGGGGGGCAGGGCCTTCAGGGAGCAAATTAAGGTCCTGTGGTGCTGGGGTCCTTATGGAAGAGGAAGAGATGCTTTCTCTCTCTACCTTGTGAGGACCCAGGGAGAAGGCAGCTGTCCATAAAGAAGAGAGCTCTCACCAGCAACCAGCCCTGGCAACAGCTTGGTCTTCAACAGCTAGCTTGAGAACTGTGAGAAAATAAAGTCTGTGTTTGAGTCACCAAGTCTGTGATATTTGTTACAACAGCCGGAGTTGACTGATGTACACATTAAGTGTTCGTTCGTAGGGACCTGGTTGGGGTAAAGAGGCAGCCCGCAGAATGGGACGCTGTATTTGTAAATCACATGTCTGAGTAGGAATTAAAATACAGAATCTGTAGGGAACTTCTAACACTCAGCAACCACAAAGGATTAACGACCGCATTGCAAACTGAGCGAAGGAGCCCAGCACGGTGGTGCACGCTACTAATCTGGCTGAGGAAGGAAGACTGAAAGCTGGAGCCCAGCCTGGACAACTTAGTGACTTAACAAGACCCCATCTTAAAATAGAAATGTGAAAAATGTCTGGGGGTCTAGCTCAGAGCAAAGGCCAAGTACACGCAAAGAACTTGAGTAGACATTTCTCCAAAAGAAGATGCACAAATGGGCAATAAGCACACGACAAAATGCTTGGCATCATCACTAGGGAAATGCCAACCAAAGCCATGACAAAACACCGCCTTGCACACACTGGGACGGATACTATTAAAACAGAAAAAACACCAGGAAACAAGTGTTGGCAAAGACATGAGGAAATTGGAACACGTGTATGGTATTGGTAGGGATGGTACAGTGCTGTGGAAAAAAGCACAATAGCTCCTCAAAAAGTTAAAAATTATAAAATGAAGGCTGGGGATTTAGCTCAGCGGATCCACCACCTGCCTCACGAGTGCAAGGTCCCCAGTTCAATCCCCAGTACCAAAAAAATCAAAGGTTCAGCAGTTCCACATCTGGGTATAAATCCAAAGGAGGTGACAGCAGAAACATGTCTGCCCTCATTCACAGCAGATTATTCACAATAGCTCAGGCAGAATCCACCCACGTCCATCAGTGGGAGAATGGATAAACAACTCATGGCGTATCACACGGTAGAATAGGACTTAGCCTCTACAGGAAGGGCCTCAAGGAGGGAGCTTAACGACATGCTGAGCTAAAGAAGCCAGTTACGAAAGGACAAATGCTGTGTGATTCCAGCCACATGAGGTACCTCAAAGAGTCAAAGCCAGAGGGACAAAAAGCAGAATGGGGTCACCAGGAAATACAAGAGAAGGGAACGGGGAGTTAGTGTTCAATGGGGACAGAGTTTTCACTTTGCAAGACGAAAACAGCTCTGTGGATGGTGGTGATGGTGACACAGAAACAGGAACGTGCTCGGTGTCACTGAACTGTACACTTACAAATGGCTAAAGTGGCACCTTATGTTACGTGTCTTAGGTTAAATAAACGTTTGTGCATCTATCCAAATTATCTAGTAAGATTCCCAAGAAAATGAAGAAGGAAAAGGAGGGTTACTTCTAACATATGAAATTCCTTTTGAATTTTGTAGCAATGTGCAGGTATTACCAATTCACAAATATTTAATTTTTAAAAGATGTTTGCAGGAATGCTACTCTACTGGCACTGAACGTGGTGCTTGGCCCTGGAGGACCTAGGGTGGACTGCAGGTTGGCCGGCCTGCTTCTCCGCAGGGCTGAACACCGCACAGGAGGCACACTGGGCCTGGAGTCCCAATACTAACCCCAGGGCAGTCACTCCCCTCTGGCCTTGGAATCTTCACCCACGGCCACCAGGGACAGACATCACCCATGTGCATCTGTCCAGGCCTAAGTGTGATGTGGGCTTGGCTTCCCAAACCCGGCACATCTGTCCCATCCTTCAGCCATCTATGAAAACAGCCACTCTGTCTTGCACGTGGGGATTAAGGAGGCCAGGGAATCAAGTGGTATAGGGTGGTGGCATCCTAACTCTGGCCTAAAGGACAAGCCTGGTCCACTTAGCAAGGCCATGGGGACAGCAGAGAGGAGGCCTATGGAGCAGCTGGCCCGAGCCACGCAGAGAGGCTTGTCAGCTACCAGCTGCTTCAGGGCATCAGCGGATGACTGAAATGTTCTTCCTGAACGCGCGTTCGGAGGAGCGTGGGGCCTTGCAGCTAGAAGTGAGCAGGACCTGGGATGGAGCCTCCCCAGCCAAAGCTGCTCTCCCCTCCCTCCACTCCAGCCCCACATGGGGCTTTTCTTCTTCCCTGGGCCCTTCCCTCTGCTCTTGGCTCCCTGCAGAGGGAAGAGGGTGAGACTCCAGGAGGAGGAGGGAGGGGACTTTGGTCACTGGCACGGTCTGCTGAGCCTGCCCTTCGCTGCGCACTCGTGATGTCCACTGTCTAGGCAAGGAGACGGGTCTGAGAAGCGGGGCCCAGGAACCCCAGCCTCTCTCCTCTGAGCACCCCTCCCCCGAGACAGGAGCGAGGAAATGGGGTCACAGCTCCCGTTCTGGCTGGTGGTGGGCCTCCCAACCCCCAACAGCAGGTGTCCAGGCAACCCCTTCCTTCCACCCAACGTGTGCCAGACCTGCACCAGCCCCTGCCTCTGTTTAGCCCTCTGTACTCACAGCATCCCTGAGCTGAAGAATAAGGAAACTGAGGCTCAAGGACACTGGTCCAAGTGACACGAGGGCCACACGCTTCCATCTGGAGCTGACACAGAGTCTGACCATCTACGTCCCAGTGAGGCTAAACCTCTAGGTGATCACTGTCACCTAGAAAAAGGCTCTGGGCAGCCCCACAGGCCCCAGCCAGCCAGGCCAACCCTAGGGTGCTGAGTGAGGAGGCCGTGCAGTCCCTGCCTCTGTCTCCAGCACCAGGCAGGGCCTGGTTGGCAGCAACAACACTTAACTGATGCATGAAATGAGTTCTGTCTGCTCTTGAAAATGTTTCCTTGCTTACCAACCTTTCCCCTCCCATATTAATCACTTTCGCATCACTGAGACAAAACACCTGCAAATTAAAGGAGGGATTTATTTTGGCTCACAGTTTTAGTGGATCCAGTCCATGATATTCTGGCTGCAAAGCAGAAACAGCATGGTAGAAGACAGATGCTCGTCCTTTGGCAGCCAGGAAGCAGAAAGAGGGAGAGGAGCAGGGAGAGAAAGACAGAGAGACAAGCATGCAGCACACACCCTTCCAGGTCACGTCCTAATAACCCACTTTTTCCAAACAGCCCCCACCTCCAAATATGTGAGACTTTAGGGTGACATTTCCAATCTAAACCACAACACCTCCCGATCTCTGAGCCTCCTCCACCCCAGCCACAAGGTCCCCCAGCAGGACCCAAGTGTTCCAGGATGTGGATCTGACCCAGTGTGGGCAGTGTGCTTATCCACTCATGAACTGATGGGCATCTGGGTTGTATTCATTTCTCAGCTATGGCGAATAGTGCTTCTGTGAACATTTGTGCACAAGTCTTCTCATAGATATATACTTCCATTGCTCTTGGGTAAATCCCTAGAAGTGGGATCATTGGCTGTATGGTAGGTTTATATATATATTTTTAAATTTATTTGGGTTTTTTGAGACAGGGTCTCACTATGTAGCCCAGGCTGGTCTCAAACTCACAGCAATCCTCCTGCCTCAGCCTCCCAAATGCTGGGATTACAGTCATGCACCACCACGCCCAGCTGGATTTAACTTTATAGAAACAGCCACAGTGTTTCCTGAGGTGCTTGTATCACTTTACATCCTCGTTGCCATAGACAGGATTTCTATTTCTCCCACATCCATGCCAGCACGTAGTGCCTTTGGTCTTCTTAAATTTTCACTATTGGAATAAGTAGACGGGGCTCCTTTTCATAGATCTGATTCACCTTTCCTTAAAGATTCGTGATGCTGAGCAGCTTTTTCATGAACCCATTGCTTTGGTGAACTGTCTGCTCATATTTTTTGCCCTATCCCTCTTTCTAAATGGCTTGGGATAGGGAGGTGGCGCTCATGTCCCGAACACAGCTCT